GCCGCCGCCGCCGCCTCGCGGAGCGGCCCCGAGCGGGGGGCAGCGGGCGCCCGGGGCCCTCGGGCCGCTCCTGCGCTCCAGCGGTGCGGGTGTTTGTCACCGGGTGGCCGCTCCCGCGCTTCCCGGGGCTTGGGAGCGGAGCGCACGGGTGGAAGCGATGGGAGCCCTGAGGGGCACGAGCGGGAACGAGGGCCCGGGAGGTGGAGGCGGGAGGAGGGAAGGCCGGGCCTGCGCCCCCTGGGACGCTGCCCAGCCTGAGGAATCCGCAGGCGTCTCCGGCCTCTCCAGTTACGGGTTAGGGCTGTGCGGTCGCTGCGCTGCCCCGGGCGAAGCTCACCCCGACGAGCGCCCCGGGGCTCGAGCAGCACCTGCGGGGCAGCCCCGGAGGCGCCGGGCGGCCCCTGGGCTCCCTGGGGGAGGCCGACGCTGGTTGGGGAACGCGTGGGACACCGGGACAGACACGGCTGTGAAAACGAAGGCGCTTGTCGGGCACCCGAGCGAGCGGCGCCCGGGGGTGTTGCAGGAGGAGAGCCCCSCGTGGCGGGGCGGGAGGGTGGCCGTGTGCTGCTGAGGTGATCAGCAGCGCGCTGAGCGGTATCTTCCGCGTTGCAGTTGCAAGATGYACGTCAGGAGGGTGGCCGAGTGCTCTTGAGATGATCCTCCGCGTTCTGAGTGATATCTTAGATGCTGACAGTCCTTTTTCCCAAGGAGAAGGCTACTAAAATACTGCAGCAGTTTTAATGACATTTCTGGTGACATTAAAATTACTTCACTTGGAATTGCAGAGCATCTCTGCTTCTCCGTTTTTGGAGGCCCAAAGGGAAAACCCTGTTGCAGCCTCCAAACTATGAGCAATGGCTGAGGACAGCAGTCCAGAGCAATGAACCTGGGTTGGTCCTACTGTCCTCTCATGATGGGAGATATAAATTTATCTGTTTAATTAGAGCAGCAGATAATTACTGTCACTGTGAAGGCAAAAGAAATGTTTGGAAATACCATGCAGGTTTTGCAAATGATCTGGGTTCAGCTTTTCCTCCAAAATTGATGAATCATAGCAGAAATGTCAACGATAACATGTSCCTGCTGGAGCAGGAAGGTTGGACTAGATGGTCTCTAGAGGTCCCTTCCAACCTCRGCCRTTCTGTGATTCTGTGCAGCTGCAAGCTGCAGGTCAGGAGGGTGGCCATGTGCTCTGGAGATGATCGTGGG